AAAAAAAAAAAAAAAAAAAAAAAAAAAAAAAAAAAAAAAAAAAAAAAAAAAAAAAAAAAAAAAAAAAAAATGTTTCGTGATATTGAGATGGATTACGCGCAATTTATAAACGCGCTATCCGCCGGAAATCGTGTCTTTTTTTGTGTTCTCAACCAAGCGCTGGAAATGTGACGAATTGCGAATTGCGTCAATTTTGGGCACGGAAACTTAGTGTTTGGACGGATCGTATTATTTTTTGCTGATCTATAATTTTAAATAATTAAAACACAATAGAGTAACCAGCGCAACTTACCCATTTGAGACTAGTGCAAAATTCCATGCATCGCTAATTGATGAATCCAATGTGGTTGAAAATGGTATTCACCACTGCCGCGCGTGGATGATATCATGAGACCTATTTCTTGAACGCCCAATCGTCAATTTTGGGTACGGAAACTTGGTGTTTGGACGGATCATATTATTTTTTGCTGGTCTATAGTCTTAATTGTCGACTTATTGTCTTAATTGTGTTAATTGTTTGAAGTAGTAAAAAGAAAAAAAAAAAAATTAAAATTATAAAACGCAATTGAGTAACCAGCGCAACTTACCCATTCTGACCACGTCTGGCTACTTAAATTCTCCTAAGATGAGTAATGATTCTTTCGTCGTGCCATTTTAATTTGTCAATGTTTTTTTCTTTTTTCCTCTGTTTCAGGCAGTCACCAAAAACTCGGCGGACGAGATTCGAACGGATGGAAAACGCCGGTTGTCCTGCTTGAAAGGCTTGATCCGGTATTCGTGCGTCACCATTTGAAAACGTCAGAGTCTACCTCCAGTTCGAGTTGTTCTGCCCCGCCTTCGTTCCAGCTTAAAAAGGAGGTAAGGTGTCACATATTTACCTCGTATATCCGTCCAGCAATATCGTTGATATTGGGAGACAAAGCGATAGACTAAGGAGACATAGGGAGCACTGGCGTAACGGGCGCCCCCGCAGACCCTGCTATGCAGGGGGGCCCAGGCACCTAGGGGGCCCTCGGCCGCCGGAATTTTTTTTCCCCTCTCTCTTTGATGCTTAGCTTTGGTTTCAAACTTTGGGCCTTTACTTATCGAGATAGGGCTTCTTCCTCTGATTTGTATTGTTGGCTCGGGGTTTCTCATACTTTCTTTGGACTGTCTCTAACTGTTTGTTTGCTGGAGGGCCCCTACCTTCTAATGTCCACTCAGTGATCACTAAAAATTGTCTCTTTTTTTGTCACTTTTCGCATTTCGGGCTTTGAGAGGCCCCTCTGTAGATCCTTGGGCCTGGGCTGGGCCCCCGCCACCCTTTATATCCTTGATCCTTTAGAGGCCCCATTTAATCGGGTACGGGATCCAGGACGGTGAGGAGTGGAGCATTCCAAGTCCGGGCCAAATAACGGGAAGGGGCGAGGGAGGGGGGATAATTTTTGAATTTTATCGACATGGGAGGGGGCCCTAGAAAAATTTTGCGGGGGGGCCCAGCGGAGGTCCGTTACGCCACTGAGGGAGTATGGAGTGATCCTATTGGTTAAAATGATTGGTTCCTCTAGACTAAGGGAGAAAATGGACTCACTATGAGGTCTCTCGTGGGTTGCCGTTAGTTAGTCCATTATCAACTTTCTTTGTCCATCGAAACCCCCCGCTTCCGCCAAAAGGATTCTTCCATGTCCCTTCTATTTTCTTTGTCTACAGCTTTGTCTATTAATTTCAACAATCGACCCGCAAGGCGTCAACCAGTCCGGAAAAAAGTGCGGAAATTCCGCAAGAAGATCCGAATTTTTTTCTTTCATACCAAACGTATGTTTTACTAAAGCCTGGCAAGTATGCTATCCCCTGCGCGTATATTCTTAGAGTAGTATTTGTTTGCAAAATCGCGATTGTGCCAGTTGCTAGTCAGTTAATCGTCAAGCCACCAATGAAATTACGAGGCTGTATCATTTTTTTCGTGATTCGAGCGAGAATTTCAAATTTTCGATGTTTGTCAACTTTCGTCGAATGGAGGCACTGGAAAAACAGTGAATTTTTCTATTGAGGAGGCATTGAATTTCGTAAGAATGCACTGGAAAAGTACTGATTTTTGGCCAGCCTGTTTCAGTAGACTTTCTGCCGTCGTTATTCAGATAATTTAATGCAATTTACTTCCAAAGTCGCAAAATCAACTCAAAAAAATCATTTTTTTCAGATGATTACAGGGTTGTCCCTAATTTCATCGCGAATATTTTCAGGATAAATTTTTCGAATAAGAATACGACATTTTGTCCAACCACGTCTGCCACAAAAATCCCCCCCCCCTCCTTTAGAGTTACAGCACCTCAAAGTCCAGGCAAAACCCCGTCTTTTCTTGATTGTGACCAAAGTTATTGATTTTTTACGGCGCGAGACAGGCATTTCCGCACATTGATTCAATGCCTGCAAATGTTTGGATAGACCAAACGTCTTACACTTGCGCGCTCTTTTTGAGTTTCGACCTCTCAGGATTCGGTTCCCTTCGGTTGGAAAACGAACTCGAGAGAGTTGCTGCTCGCAGTGGCGTGGCGTACTTTGCGATATATCGATTGATCTGCCATTTAAACCTGCAGAAAAGGATCGATTATCAGGGTGTTCGCAACGAACCCCTGAATAATCGATTCTTTACCATAGCTTCAAATGGGGAAAATCGATATATATCGAAGCTCGCCGGGCGAGTTATTCGAAGGGCCGCACAGTAGATCGAGTCAATCGGAGAGGTCGGACATGACATTTTTTACTACAACTGCAAATCTGCATGTTTAATTCGTCACATTTTAAATTTTAAGGGGTGCTCCTAGTAGACAATTTTACGAGGAAACCAACGGAACCACTTTTAAAATCTTAAACTTTAGTATTACTGGAGTTTTTAAACTTTCCAAATTTTGTCCGACCTCTCCCATTGACCCGATCCAATTTGGGCCGGGTGAAAGATACCTATCCGTTTTCGCAAGGTGGTGNGGGGGGGGGGGGGGGTGTCTGACATCGACTTTCGAAAAAATTTTAGAATTTCGTTTTTGGGGCTCATTTTCTTTTTTTTCATTGTCCACACAAGCATGACAAGACCTAGAACACTTATTTCTAATGACTAGTTCGGGTGGGTGGAGCATTCAAGGGAGTGAAAGGTCGAGGTCACGAAAGGTGAGGGTCAGTTTGAATCGCTACCGACCGAGTTTTTTTACCGAAAATTCAAATCATGCTTTCCGTAAGTCCGCTTTTTTTCACGCCAAAGGTACCCTTTCTCAGGTTCTAGTGGGTCTTTTCTCAATTACTCTTTTGTTTGATTCCTTCCAATTTTCTACACACTTTAAAGTGGGGGTTTTCAAAAATATTGATTTTTAAAACTTTCAGGTCTCTGCGAATGTCAGTTTTATTGAATCTCTTGAAATAATGTTTAGGTTCCGTTACAGTTACAAGTGCGTGTGAGGTAAGGAAAAAAACACGGATTTTTGAGGATTGTCAAAAGAAAGAATTTTCGGGAAAGTAAGGAATGAGCAAGGGAAAGGTACTGAAAACGCAAGGAATTATAATGACCGAGTGCCAGTAGGCACCCTGCGCTGTTTTCAGAATCAAGATGCATATCTTATTATTGGATCTCATTATAATGCATTTTATTTTCGATCTGATTCGTGCCAATTGGACAGAGAGAGCGCCTCTGAGTTTGGATTGGGATCCGAAGTTCGTTAGTGTCTTCTACAGGTGGTTCAATTTTTTGGAGCCCAACATTTTTCGTCCCGGTGAGATCTCCAACTATGTGATCCTGGAAGATGTGAAGTGAATTTTGCGTAAATTTTACAAAGCTTGTGCCAGTTTGTGATAAAGAGAATATTATCGATAAGTGCATGTGTTTTTTTACCCCATGAGTCAACAAAAATCAAAGGTTAGTGGATGAAAAGCATTTTATTCTTGAATCGGCTCCTGATTTTCTGTCATCTGATTGGTCGAAATATTTACCTGCGTGGCATTGTCATGAGTTCCATCCAATAACAGCATAGCTTAAAACCGCTCTGTTGCTGCGTTCTGTCTACAGTGGACTCTCGATAATTCGGAAACCTTGTTTATTCGAAGGAAAGTCCGTTTTCCTTGAAAATCTCTCGATAATTCGAAGAAAATCAATGTATTTTTCTCCCCTCGTTATTTCGAAATTTTTAAGCTGGCGCGGCCCTCTATAATTCGAAATTGCGACGAAAATTCTCTCTGTAATTCGAAATGTGGGAAGTAAATGTGGTCCTTCCTCTATAATTCGAAATAAGACGGTGCATTCCCTCTACAATTCGAAGTCAACTGTTTATGTTCCTGGGTGTCTGAAAGAGCTGATAGGATTGTCAAAATATAAACATGTAATTAATAATTTTAAAATTAAATATAAATAATTAATACTTAATAATAACTTAGTGTAATTTTTTTTACCTCAGTGAAGAAATAAATTGATATTTTTAGTTCCTTTTGACGTAAATCCGTCCATTTGCCTCTCTACATTCGAACCTCTCTAATTCCATCTTTCCCCACATGAATCTCTTTAATTGGAACCCTCTTTATTTCGAAACCTCGCTAATTCGAAGAAAAAGCCGAGTCCCTTCAATTTCGAATTATCGAGAGTCCACTGTAGGAGGATACTGGACTGGTGAATCGCACCGCTTTTTTCTCGGATATTATGTATTGCCTGCACGTTTTGCATCTTCCAGCGCGTCTACCGTACCTACCTAAAAAGCACATATACCCCCTAAAAGACGAAATTGTGAGGTTGCCGGCCAGGTTGGCCTAGTGGTCAGCGCGTCTGACTCTAGGCCAATAGGTCCCGGGTTCGAATCCCGGTGGTGGCGACAAATTTTCATGGAACTGACGAGTGGATCTGCAGAAACAGATTCCACTCGGCCTTAATCCGTGAAAATTTGAAAGCCTGGAGCATGGATGTGCCTAAATCCCATGATGTCTAAGGACAATAAATACTGTCTATCGATGGCTGTAGGTTCCAACGGAATATAAGCCACTAAACCAGCAAAAAAAAAAAAAAAAAATTGTGAGGTTACGGCAAAAGCACAGAAAACTAACGAATTTCCTGAAGAGAAAACATGGATTTGTGTCCTTGGCCGAGTGAAATCCGGGAGGAATAGGCGGTGGACGCCTCCAGGGAGAAGGGAGAAAATAGTGGGTGGAAAAGACAATTAACGTTTCCCAACGAAAGTTCAACAACGCTTTTGAGCAACAAAGGGGCAAATTGTCGCGGCAATGTTGCCAATTTGTAGATTGCCTACTTGTTCCGTGAGGAATCACAAATGTCTGTGAAGTATGTTTGGACCTAGTCTCATGCTCCCATCGCATCAGCACTTAAGTTAGAAGAGAAAAATGTATTGGAGACACAAGACCAAAAAAAAACATAAGGGGGGATGGGGGCTTCACATGAATTCGATTCCCTCCCGGTTGTGAAAAAAAAAATTGGCAATGTCCCTGCAATCATGACCAAGAACGTTGTTGCAAGAATGTTGTTGCAATAATGTTGGGCCAATCCTGGTGGAGGAAGATCCAGGACGTTGGTTTGGCTTCGGATTTGAAAGATCCTCGCACTGAAATCGGCAAATTTGAGCACCCAATTTCGTCTACCTTTATTGCACTCTTATGAGGTTGGTGCTATTTACGCTGAATTCATGTCAGATCAACCAGCCAACGACAAGTTAGACAAATTCATGGATAAGGGTGGTTTCACGATATCGACGGTGAAACTACCAAACCACGTATCTCGTTTGCGGTGTTTAAAAATCTACGCTCACATTTTATTTTTTTGAAGTAGACCAAATCAATATCATTCCTTGAAATTTTCACGGAATTTTCTCCGCACAAAGAGGAAAAATCACAGAAATTTTCAAGACTAGATGTTAAGTAGTTTTTCATTCAAAAAATAAAGTATGACAGGAAGTCTGCGACGTCGCAAACCGAGATACGTGGTTTGGTAGTTTCACCGTCGATATCTGGAATAGCTTTGTCGCCGCAACAGACAACACATTTTTCGGTCATATCTTTAGTAGAAATGACAATCACTCGAACTTTTTCGCCTTAATCTTCAAAGGGTTACGTATTATAACGCTTTCTAATGATTTATTGCTCTACTTCTCAATTAATATTATGTAAATTCCGAAAATGTGCTGTCTGTTACGCGGTAAAAAGTCAGCGTAACAGACAGCACATTTTCGGCCATTTGTACATTAAAATTGAAAAGTAGAGCGATGAATCTTTGAAAAGCGTCATAACACGTAACCTTGTGTAGATTAATGCAAAAAATTTCGAGTGATTATTATCCCTACTAAAAATATGACCGAAAAATGTGTTGTCTGTTACGGCGACAAAACTATTCCAGTTACCGTGAAACCACCCATAATCATTTGCGACTATTTTGTTTCGGAAAGTGGCATATGTTTCCACCTGGCATGTGGGCTGCCAAAACTAAAGCTCCCGCCAAAACGACCAATGCCGTGAAAGCTTTCACTCACGTTCCAATGGACCACTAGACAAGGTACGAATTTAAGCGATCTGATACATGTTTCTTAACCAGAATTTCACGTAGAAAACGATCCACACAACGAAAATCACCGAAACCAACTCCTAACGAAGATATTAACGTTTTTATTTCACATTGGTTACAAGGAATTTGAACTGCCCGCTCACAAGAAACTCAAAGCTCTACGTGAGTCAAATCGCCCACTACAACGGTTTCAGCAAGCTTCTCAATCGAGCAATGCTCATTTCCCACCATGTGTTGTTCAAACTATTAGCAATTTGCTATAACTGAGCCAAAGCGTCAAGATTGAGGTTGATAGATTTTGATATCGCAGAAACTGTCATGATAAACGTTTAGCGCGCGATATGAATCACGTAGAGTATTGAGTTTTCATGAGCAGGTGGTTTGAATTAACGCATCAAGAGTCATTAAATATCTTCGTCAGGAGTTAATTTCGGTAATTTTCGTTGTGTGCATCGTGTTTTACGTAAAATTTTGGTTAAGAAACATGTATCAGAATGCTGAAATTCGTACCTTGTCTAGTGGTCCATTCATGCTTTTGCAAGCTCCGTCCAAACTTTCCTTTATTTTTGAATAAGTTTGTATAAAGTCTTGCAGAAGCTTTTTCGCAACTTCCAAATCTTGATCTATTCTCTCATGTTTTACATTCCTCGTCATTATTCCTGCGACGTTGCCAGTTAGACTTTTTTTCTTAGCCGGGAGGGTATCAGGCGGTGGTCTTCGCATGAGGGCTGAGAAATGGTGGGAAGGTGAATTTTTATAAATCGTCACCTTCCAGGCAAAGTATCACAAGCGCCTTGCGACGTTTAAAAATTTCCGCCGCAATTTTATTTTTTTACAGAGAAATTGTTCAACGAAGCTGTCCGAAAATTTCACTGAATTTTCTTTGTGCTGCCGATAAAATTTAGTGAAATTTCCAAACAGATTCAACCAACAATTTCTCAGTAAAGAAATAAAATGGCGGCGGAAATATTTAAACGTCGCATGGCGCTTGTGATACTTTGCCTGGAAGATGACGGAATGTTGATGAAGTTCGAAAAAGTTCAGAACGTGTCTTAAAATAGCTGTCTCTACAATCGTATAAATAAAGCGAACAAAGTAAATCGGTCATTCTCGAAATGACTTAAGTGCCAGGAATGAGAATTTGAGAAGAACCAGTGACAACTGTTTTAATCGACCCGTTCTGCGGGCTGATTATTGAAATTTATAGACAAAGCAATAGACAAAGAAGACAAAAACGATATGGAGGGATCCTATTGGTGGAAGCGGGTGGTTGCGATGGACAAAGGACGTAGGTAACAGACTAACTAACGGCAACCAACGAGAGACCCAGCTAGTCCATTATCTACCCCCTTAGTCTATCAGAACCACCCATTTCAACCAATAGGATCGCTCTATACTCATTACGTCTCCTTCGTCTATAGCTATGTCTATAAATTTCAATAATCAGTCCGCTGAAGCTCGGAGGTCAGAAAAATGATCATCCGAGAAGATTTCAATTTAAAATCGGATCGTGTTTGTTTCAGAAGTTTCCAATTTTCATAATAATATGAGCGGAAAAGAAGGTGAAAAACGACTCGGCGCTTGAGTTTTTTGAGAGTGAACGAACTTTTTCCAACATATTTCTCTCATCTAAAGTCAAATTTTTAGTGTTCCAAACCGTGATGAGCACGAAAACTTTAATTTACACTACATCTAGATTAATTACAATTTTAGCCTACCAATTCATAATCATATTACCGATTATTTAGATACTTTAGTCAGACAGATAAGTTTTGCCTGTAAGAACAAATAATGACTCCCTAATTCGAATAAATTTGAGATAACTGTGATTGCATCAAATGAAGCTGTGCGAGTACTTCATAGCTCTTCAGCGATTGTGTCTTTTTTAGAGTGTTTGAACTTTTCAGACGTTTTTAGGCCTTAAAATTCAGTTTTTTACATGCCACGTTGCAACAAAATGCATGTATGTCTAAGCAATGCGGAACCACCGAATACTCGATTTTCGATTTCGTGGCGCTCAAGTCTTCTTGAAATTAATTGACCTGAATGCGTTTTAGGTAATCTCTTAGCCCTCTTATGTAATCTACCTTTAAAAACTGATTATTTTAAATGGAAAATTTAAAAACGTCAGTCTTTCTTGTCCATTGTAAGAACATGTACAGTATAAAAGCAAGATTCATACTTTAAATGTTACGTCTAAATACAACTTCCGAATTTTAAATGTTTACTAATTATGAATAAAACACGCATAAAATAAATATGGGATCTGCCAACTGTAATTGCAAGTATAGACTAAAGATCGTCTCCCACCAAATTAAGAAATGAATAATAAAATCTTCAATTTCGGAACTGAAACATCTTGCTCAATCGAAACTGCTACTGATTGAAATGGCTGAATATTGGGCTCAAAATTCGTTCTTCTTATGAGAGCTTTCACCATTAAGATTTTCGCATTGCTTTTACGGGTAATGGACCACTAGACAAGGTACGAATTTAAACAATCTGATACATGTTTCTTAACCAGAATTTCACGTAGAACACGATTAGCGCAATGGATATTACTGAAACTAACTCCTAACGAAGATATCAACGTTTTTATTTCACATTGGGTACGAGGAACTTGAACTGCCCGCTCACAAGAAACTCAAAGCTCTACGTGAGTCAAATCGCGCAGTACAACGGTCTCAGCAAGCTTCTTAATTGAGCAATGCTCATTTCCCACCATGTGTTGTTCAATTTATGAGCAATTTGCTATAGCTGAGCCAAAGCGTCAAGATTGAGGTTGCCAGATTTTTAAATCGCAGATACTGTCATGATAACGTTTAGCGCGCGATGTGAATCACGTAGAGTATTGAGTTTTCATGAGCGGGTGGTTTGAATT